ACCTTCCTTCCGAGGAGTGGCTGGTGGGTTTGAACCGCTAGCCTTCTGGTTAGCAGTCAAGTGCCTTAGGCACTATGCTACCAGAGCTCCTTAAAGTTGTAGTAATTGAAAAAGTGTAGTATTGGCTCAAGGAGTGAAAAATAGACCAACAAAATAGAACACAGGGTCGACAAACTGTCTTTCATATTGCAACCCATTCCCAATGGGATTATAACATAACTACAGGCATAGAGGTTTACAAAACACATTTCTGGGGACACAGTTCAACCCTAAACATTCCACCCTTTGGTGCCCAAAATTCATGTCCTTGCCACATGCAAAACACATTCACCCCATCACATCATCCCAAAAGTCTTAAATAAACTCTAAGCCCAAAATCTCATCTTCTGAATCTTCAAAATCAAATATGGGTGAGACTTTATATGTATTCCATCCTGGGGCAAAATTCTTCATCTATGAATCTGTGAAATCTGACAACAAGTACAATAGTGGAACAGGTACGAGGTAAGTATCACCATTACAAATGGGAGAAATTGGAGGGAAAGATGGGATAATGGGCACCAAGCAAATTCAAAACCCAGCAGAACAATTTAATTAGCTCTCAATGCTTGAAAATAATCATCTGTTCTTTGGGACCATCTGGACAATCCCTGCCCTCCAGATTCTGGGTATTGGCCATGACCTCCAGATTCTGTCCTGGGCTTTAGCTCTGCCTTCCAGGGCCACTGGGATGGCAATTCTGCTCCTTTGGCTTTTCTTTTAGTCCATCTGAGTGGTAACCCTCCCCCTCAGCCCTGGCAGGCTCTATTCTTCTGCCCCTTGGCAGAAGAGAGTCCTGCCCCCTCAACCTTGTTCAGCAGCCCCCTTTCCCTGGCACACCTTAACAGTAGCGTCACACTCTGGAACCAAGTTGGCAAAGATCAGACTCTTTGAAACCCAAGAGGTTGTGGTCCCACCCTTTGAGATCCAGGAGACCTTGGTCCCACCCTTTGAAACCAAGAAAAGCCAACTTCCCATGCTCCTTTTAACAGTTCTGCTGATCTCCAAGCTGCTCCAGGGATGGTCCTTTTCTTTTCTTGGAGGACAACAGATATAGCTCCTCTGGCCTATTTCCTGCCTGTAGAATTCCAAGAGGCAAAAAGCATTCTTTCATTTCTTTGTCTCCTTCAGAATAAGTTGATGGGTCTTCTGCTGTGGTAGTTGGTTAGATCCATCAGTCACAGGCTTAATTTCTTTAACAAAAGACTGTGGAGTCACACCCTTGGTAAACATTCTAGGACACGTGTCCTCAGTTTGCACAACAGAAATTTCAAATCTTTAACTTCTGTATTCATTTTACACAGTTCATTTTTAAGTCCATCTCTTTCCTTTTGTATTTCACTATAAGCGACAAGGAGAAACCATGTAGCCCCTTTAAGATCTTGCTTAGAAAGCTCATCAGCCAGACATCCAAGTTAATCATTCAATAATTCTACCTTCTACCAAAAATTTGAACATAATCCAGAAAAGTTCTATGCCACTGCATTAAAAAAAAAAAAAAATCACCCTTCCTCCATTATTTAATCACATGTTCATCATTTTCTTTTAAAGCCTCACCAGAAGCACATTTAATGTCCACATTTCTAGCAACATTCTGTATGTGGCACAATAGTTATTCTCTAAAATGATAGAGACTTTCTCTGTAGCTCTCCTCACTTCCATCTGAACCCTCACCAGAATTGTCTTTGATGTATAATTCTACCAACAGTCTCTTCAAGATAACCTAGGCCTTTACTATTAGGCACCTTAGAACTTTTCCAGCCTTTACCCATTACCCAATTCCAAACTGCTTCCACATTCTAGGTATCTGTTAGAATAGCATCCCACTCTTCCACTACCAAATTATGTCTTAGTTATCTGTTGTTAGTTGTTGTTGTTATTTGCCGTCGAGTCGGCTCCGACTCATAGCGACCCCTCCTTGGGTTTCCGAGGCAGTATCGCTACGGAAA